TGTTGAAGCTAGAAAGGTGAGCAGCGTAAGCCTGATTCCCTGTAAGGACTTCTCTGTTGACATCTACCCCTTGGCGCTCATGACCTTATGCAGTTGCGAGCGCCGTAAAACTCTTACTAAAACTAAAAAAGTGCTGTAAAGCTCTTACTGATACTAAAACAGAACCCCATTGTTTTTTATTTTGTTGTTTTTTTAATTACAGGAAGTGCCTTGCAGCTGCTCAAAGAGTACTTTGACAAGTTTGGTCACAAGTTCTGTTGTTTTGGAGACATGACGCTGTTCTTAGATCTCCTAAACAGCTCAGAAACAGATGAGGTATGCCTGCTTAGCCCTGGTCATCTCATCCTTTTCTTTGTTCTTTAAAACAGCAACCAAAATGTTTAGGTTTTGGGATGCTTAACCCTATCAAAAACGCCCTGGGGTCTTTTGTACCCCCGGGGTTATATTCTTCGCATTTTAGAATACTTCTAGTACGGTTATCCCTTTGGAATTTTCAGTATTTCTCAAATAGTCATTTTTGACTGACTGCTATGCAAACCGTACGGATCGGATTAAGGAATAAATTTCCTCTTTGAAAGTGTGGGTACGGAGTTCCCCACGTCGCATGGATACGATAGTAAAGCACAGCTTACAGATAGGGTTAACAACTAGTTTTGGCTGAACCTATTCCGGTAAAGATTTCTTTGCAGACCTGTTGTTTTGATAGTGTGTATTCTCAGAAGATGTTTTTTAAGTGGACTCCATAGTATATTTTATGAAATCTCATTTGCATCCCCGATGTGGAATATTTTTATTTCACAATTGACATTGAGGGGTTAAATACCAGCGAGTTCACTGTCAGTGCTGATGTGTGTGTGTGTGTTTGTGGTAGTCTATCCGTTGGAAATTTTTGGAGCCCCGAAGAGCATGCTCTTCACCAGGGCCACCGCCTCTCTTGGGTAGCGGGTGAGGCAGTCCAACCTCCCTGAATCCTCCCCAAAGAGATGCCACCGCCGGACCTCCATGGCGGGGCTCTTCGCGGGACAATGGACAGATTGGGCCCGATGTTTTGTGTGTTCTATTTTTGTAGGCCCGGAGCCCAGAGAAGTGACTGGATGTAAAAAATGTACGTACATGTGTGCAATAAATGTGTATGTGAAATATTTGCTGACATGCGTGCATTAAATGTGTTTGTGGGTGGTTGGCGGGTGCTTTGGTGTGGTTTGGTTCTTCTCTCCTATCAAACATCTATCGTCCTGATATCTCCTACTTTTGTGTTTGTTACTCTCTTGTAACACCTCTGATCTTCGGCACTTATATGACCGTATTTTGTTGCAAGTGCTGTAAAACTCTTACTAAAACATAAATGTGTATGTGAAATATTTGCCTACATAATCGTGACCAATCCAGATGTTTTTTGTTTTGTTTTTCTTTTCAGCTCTTGTCTCACATCCAAGGGTCGGTGGGTCTAGATGAGTCTGAGGGGGAGGATCTGCTGTTTGCCAAGGATGTGAGTGACGTTTGTTGGCTGTTGGTCCTGCATGTTACTGTCGTGTGCCCTGGGTGGTTGGCGGGTGCTCTGGTGGGGTTTGCTCCTTCTTTCCTTTCAAACTCTGTTTGTCCTTATCTCTCCTTCTTTTTTGTGCTTGTTACTCTCGTGTAACACCTCTAATCTTCAGCACTTCTATGACCTTATTGTGTTACAAGGGCTGCAAAACACTTACTAAAACTAAATACTCGATTTTGTTACTCTTGGCGTCGTGTTGTTTCCTCCTGTGGGAGGTTGGAGGGAGCCCACTAGTAGCTCCTACTTCTTTACTTTCCTTCCCTGTTGTTTCTGTCTGATCTTTTTCCCCAACACTAAATATCCATTATTTATTGAGTCGATGTGCTTCTTTTTTCTCAAACAGTGGGTTGTTGGCGGGTGCTCTGCTGTGGGTTGCTCCTTCTTTCCGATCAAACATCTATCGTCTTTATCTTCCCTCCTTCTTTTATAAGTTTGTTACTTTCTTGTAACACCTCTAATCTTCGGCACTTATAAGACCTTATTGTATTGCAAGTGCCGTACGGTAAAACTCTTACTAAAAACTTACTCAAACACAAACACAAATTGTTTCCCCGCTTCCAGATCAGTCAGATGACCCGTCACATGGTCTCGGTACAACTGTCGCGACGGGCCGGCAAACACCACCTCATGTCCTCGGAGGCCCGCCTGGCACTGTCTCAACAGCTCCAGCTACGTTATCGCCAGGGGCTCAGTTTTGGTGAGGGGAGAACTCTGTGTGTGTGCGCGCGCGCATGTATGAGTGTGTGTGTGTGTGTGCGCATGTGTGTGTGTGTGTGCCTGGCTCTGTCTCAACAGCTCCTGCTGCGCTTTCGCCAGGGACTCGGTTTTGGTGAAAGAACTTGTTAGGCCGTGCGTGTGTAAATTAATATGTAAATTATTGGAGGCCTTGTGTGTGCGGGCTCGCGCGTATATGCGCGTGTGTGTGTGTGTGCCTGGCACTGTCTCACAGCTCCTGCTGCGCTATCGCCAGGGACTCGGTTTTGGTGTGGGAGAACTTGTTAGTGGGTGGTTGGCGGGTGCTCTTGTCTGGTTTGCTCCTACTTTCCTACCGAACATCTATCGTCCTGATCTCTCCTCCTTTTTTGTTTGTTGCTCTCTTGTAACTCCTCTAATCTTCGGCACATATATGACCTTTTTGTGTTGCAAGTGCCGTAAAGGTCTTACTAAAACATACTCCTTTGTAACTCCTCTAACCTTTGACACTTATATGACCTTATTGTGTTGCAAGTGCCGTAAAACACTTACTAAAAAAAAATGTTTGTGTTGTGTCTCCATGCAGGTCGTGAGCTCCTCCAGACAGATTTGCAATACAGTGATAACTACCTGCTCATGGCCGTCCATTTGTTGCTGGACGAGTGGTCGCTCACAGGTGGGTCAGTCAGCACATGCGCTCCTACTGGATTTATTCACACACTTACACATGTATCCACAGGTATACAGACAGTGTGGGTGGTTGGTGGGTTCTCTGGTACGGTTGGCGGGTGCTCTGGTGTGGTTTGCTCCTTCTTTCGTATCAAACATCTATCATCCTTATCTCCCCTTTTTCTTTTTTATGTGTGTTACTCTCTTGTAACACCTCTAATCTTCTGGCGCTCTTATGACCTTTTGCAGTTACGAGTGCCGCAAAACTCTACACAAAAAAAACAACCCAAAAAACTTTCTGTTAAACCCAATATTAGTTGTCTTTGAAGTGTCTTTCTGTTTGCAAGTTTGTACATTTTTGGTTACAGTTTAAACCGAAAGCTGCTAGACCGCCGAATATTCTTCAGTTATTCTGTCGTTTTTATCTCTCCTCCCTTTTTGTGTTTCTAAGAAAATGAACTAGTGTACTTGAACGTTTTCATGTAACAGTCTCTTTTTCTGTAGGACTAAATAAGTACCGAAGTGTTTGTGTGTGTGGATAAAGAAAAATTAAATCGATTAATAGGGAAAGCATGTAAAATTTCAACATCTACATTACCCTACTTGGATGAATTTTACAAAACAGCTTGCCATAAAAAAAATTAATTCCATCTTTTTAGGCAACAAACATCCCTTGTTCCCTCTAATAGAAACATCAGTCAGAAGTAAAAGAGCTAGGCGTCTGAAATGTAACAAAGAAAGATACGGAAGGTCATTTTTACCGTCATCCATCGAAATTCTTCCATCTTAACCATCTTGTTATAAATATTCATATGACCTTAGAGCATGCATCTGAATAACATTGAGTATGTATCTAGCGTAAGATTATTATTGTTTATATTACTGCTCATCTGTATTATACATGTGACTGTAAGCCTGCATGTGTGTGTGTGTGTGTGTATGTATGTGTGTGTGTGGGTATGTGTGTACGTGGTGAAACGCCAAACCAATGTGCCAGGATCTGGACAATAAAGATGTATCTTACATTTTCAGGAGATGACGTGTATGTCTGGAGGGCCGTGGTTCACCTAGAGCTGGGCATCCGAGAGAGTCCGGCCAATTTCCAGTTCAAACTTCTACTCATCCGGCTGTACTGCATCAAAGGTGGGTCCCTTCTCCTGGATGCTGCAGGGGAAATTGTGCTGTCTACAGCTGTTGGTGGAAAGGGGGGGGGGGGGGATGGGAGAGGAGTGGAGGGGGAGGGGGTGGCAAAGTATGCTATTGACATTCCTGCAGCATAGGGCATATTGTTATGGGTGGTTGGCTGGTGCTATGCTGTGGTTTGTTTCTTCTTTCCTGTCAAACATCTATCGACTTTATCTCCCCTCTTTCTTTTTTGTGTTTGTTACTCTCTTGTAACTCCTCAAATCTTCGGCGCATATTTGACCTTATTGTATTGCAAGTGCCATAAAAACTCTTAGTAAAACTAAAATTGTATTGTTGGCACTACTGCAGCGCAAGGCAGTTTGTACGATTGACACTTTAGTAGTGTAGAGAAATTTGTGTCTTTCGTGGTCCTTTTTGTATCGGGGATCACTGCTATAGTCATTGAGCCAAATGCTTGTGGTAAGGATGCTGTGATACAGGAACATAGGGGGGGGGGGGGGAGAGGCTGTCTGAGGAAGGAGAAGAAGTAAAATTTGAGGCATCGTGGTGAAATCAGGCGCTCGTCAAAATGCAGGAATCGGAGAAGCAGGCATGTTTCTGCCAGTTTGGACATTTTTGATGAATTTTTATTTTTTGGCTCAACCTCTTTTATGTTCATATAAAAAACACATTTCCATATGATTTTTACTGAAACACATTGATTAAAAGCACAAAAAAATGTCATTTTTCTTTTTCAAAGACGCTTTAGCTATTGGATTTGCCAAACTTTGGCAGCCATTTTCTTGCTAATTTTAACACTGAAACTAGGCAACCTTACTTCCTTCAATCGCAAATATCTTGAGTTCTATTCAACACAGACGGATATTTATTTCTTTGGAAGCAAGGCAAATAAATCAGCTTTCAGATGATACCAATAACTCCACATGCCCAAAAATTGACGAGCGCCTGATTCCAGTGTGTCGTGACACAAATGATGTTTGTGTGACTGGCATTCTGCCCGCAGAATAAGGGTGGGAATGACAACTTTTGGAATGGTTTCGCAACAACGATGTTCATAATGTTGACCATTTTCTCATGCCTTATTTGGCTTCATTGTGTGTGATGTCTGTTCTGTACTTTCTCATTTGTTGTGTGGGTGACAATCATGTTTGCTCTTCCCTGTAAATTTTCTGTTTGTCTGTCTTCCTCTTTTCCAGCACCAATTGATCATTTCTGTGCTGATATGCTCCTCATTACTTAAAACCTAACTGTGGGTGGTTGGCGGGTGCTCTGGTGTGGTTTGCTACGTCTTTCCTGTCAAACATCTATCATCCTTATCTCCCTCTCTTTTTTTAAATGTTTGTTAATCTCTTGTAACACCTCTACTCTTGGGCACTTATATGAGCTTATTGTGTTGCAAGTGCCGTATAACACTTATTATAACTGATCTCCCCCTGCTATTACTCATACTTTGGTGTGTTGCTCCATGTTGTAGGTGTGTTTGGGCCGTGCCCTGCTCTCTACGATGCCATGGAAATGAAGCATATCATCAACGACACTATGGGGTGAGTACAGGACTCGGAACACTGCTCCTTCTGGGTGGTTGGCGGGTGCTCTGGTGTGGTTCTTCTTTCCTATCAAACATCTATCGTCTTTATTCCCCCTTCTTCTTTTTTATGTTTGTTACTCTCTTGTAACCCCTCTAATCTTCTGCACTTATATGACCTTATTGTGTTGCAAGCACCGTAAAACCTCTATTAAAACTTTTTTTAAATGATGTATTCCACTCTGTCTCTCCGTATAGGTACATTGTATCCAACCACGTGGTGCGGCTGGGTCACATGATGGAGGCAGGAACGATGTACAGCACAATGGTTCGGTTCTTCTTGGTCAACCAGAAAGAGGCTTCCGAGCACCTCATGTCCTCCTACAAGTTTGGGTCTTTTGGTCGAGTAAGTGTTTTTTTTAATTGATTGTTTTTTGGCTCTTGTTTCAATCTTTGATGGCGTGCATGTTTTTGTTCTTGTTTCAATCTTTGACGGCGTGCGTGTTTTTATCAGTACAAATGTTCTTTTGTCTCTCAAAGGTTTGAATCAATAGAAATTAAAATGAATATATAACTGCTTTTGACATAAAATTGTTTATATCAGTTCAATTTTAGATGTTACCTTTTCATCATATGAGTGTTTGCATCTCAAGTTTTGCTGTACTTTATTGGTAAGTTCATCAGTGCAAGGTGGCTGGGTTCCTTTTTATAATGTAAGATTCTATTTGCTTTTCTTTACTCAAAATAGTGGGTGGTTGGCTGGTGCTCTGGTGTGGTTTGCTCCTTCTTTCCCATCAAATATCTATCGTCCTGATATCTCCTTCTTTTTTTATATTTGACACCTCTAATCTTCTGGCGCTCATATGACCTTATGCAGTTGCGAGAGCCGTAAAACACTTACTAAAACTAAACTAGATAGAAAATGAGTTTTTGTTTTTACAATGTAAGGTTTGATTTTGCTTTTCTTTACACTGAAAATAAAGGAAGAAATATATCATTCTCTCTCTCAGATCCAGGAATTTGTGGAGTTCCAAGACCGCCTGGATCGCTCCCTCCAGTTCCAGAGCGCCCACACGGAGAAGATGTTGCTGGACCTGATGTTGCAGACGGACTGCCACGAGGCGGTGGAAGCGGCGGCCGACTGTATCGCCACGCAGACCAAGCACATACAGTGTGACGAAGTGGTCGACAATCGGGACTTGGCGATCGCACTATGCTGGGATCCTCCCTCTCGGTACTACCTACTGACATTCTCTCTCTCTCTCTCTCTCTCTCTCTCTCTCTCTCTCTCTCTCTCTCTCTCTCTCTCTCTCTCTCTCTCTCTCTCTCTCTCTCTCTCTCCCCTCTCTCTCTCTCTCTCTCTCTCTCTCTCTCTCCCCCCCCCCCTCTTTTAACTCCCAGTGGAGCATAGGCCATCAACAGCATTTCTCCAGGGACGCCTGTCCTGTGCATCCTTTTCTAGCTGTTTCCATGATGTCCCCGCCTTTTCCATTTCCACTTGTACCGCTCGCCTCCATGTCATCTTTGGTCTTGATTGGCTCTTCCTGTGGGAAGTATATAGTAAAATGGGGAAATTCCAGACCATACTTTTCAATTGGATTGTGAGACAAGTGTTATAGAAGCTACTTTATGTAGAAAGAGGACACATCCTCCACAACAGTTTTACTTTGGGTCTGATAAGTTAGGAAACAAAACAATATGAATTTTACAATATCACCATCCCCATACTTCCATTTTTTAACTTAATTAGAAAGTTAATATTGCTAGGCGATTCCACACCCACATGAGCACACACGCCAAAATGAAAATAAAAAGACCGACATACAAGAAATTAAAGCAGAATTGAAAAATAAAACATGGAAGATAGCAAATGTTAAAGCTGATTGTCAAACAGATTTCTGTTGGTTCTAAGGGCTGTAAGTCGGGGTATGGAATTCCCCCACCTTCCCGTTTCAGTAGTTTGGACTTGGTGACACCTCATAAGTGTCCACCGTATTTCTGTTATCTGCAGCCACATTTAGAGAGTGCTTGATGATTCCATGGCACTCTCAGTACAAAGTTATAATGACAGGGGGGTTTTTTGTTTTAAAAAAATAAATTTATTATTATTTTTTTTTACACCTCCGCAGGCTGTCCACACAATTTATGCTTATTTGCAGTTTTTGAAACATTTGCTTTTTAATTTCTTTTAATTTCGGAAGCACGTCAGTGAGTATATATATACCTGGGACATTTGTTTTGTAGTGTGTTCAGCAAGTGAATGAATTGTTTTGTCTTGTTTCAGACTCAAACCAGAGCAATACAGGGAGGACTCATTAGCAGAAGAAGTAAGTACACGGTACAAAGCCTGTGAAAGCTACTGTTGTATCTTCCTATTTCTGTGTTGTCAAAGTGCCACTATTCTTTATGGCTGGTTATTTTGTCAGTGTTGCTATTTTGAAAAAGAAAATGCGTATTTTTTTTACTAGCATGTCTGTTATGCTTTACTATGTTCTCAGAGAGAAAGAAAAGCCAAGTTGTCTTTTATTAGTTGCGAACGGCGTAAAACCTCTACTAAAGCTAACTCTCTTTTGTTTCTTCTTTCCTATCAATCATCTGTTGTCCTTATCTCCCCTTCTTCTTTTTTATGTTTGTTACTCTCTTGTAACACCTCTAATCTTCTGGTGTTCATATGACCTTATGCAGTTGCGAGCGCCGTAGAACCTCTACTAAAACTTGTTGTACGGACAGAAATGCCTCACTAGTTGTCTTTTATTAGTTGCGAGGGCCGCCGTAAAACCTCTACTACTAAAACTAACTGTCTTTTTTATTTGTTGCTCGGACAGAAATGCTGGCTGCAGCTGCGTCAGTTGGAGCTGCAGCTGTTGCTGTCGGCCGTGGCCGCCGGCCTGGAGATGTCGGGAGCGGCGGGCCTCAACGGCAACAGCTCGGAGGGCCATGGGGGCGGGGACGGGAAGGAGGCGCCGCTGGACGCCCTCAACGCCCGAGTGAAGGAGCTACTGGACTTTGCTGCCAAGTCGCAAGATTTTGCCGAGCCCCGACAGGTAGGCAGTACCACAGGTTTTATAAATTAAGGGCTGGTGGGGAACCTAGAAATCGTGTTTTGGGGTCAAATTATGCAAATTGGTGTTATTACATATTATAGTACCTGGACATTTCCTGAATGATATCCAGAAACGTATGTAAGCCTTGCTACACCCTAAAGCTGTGGGGGTTTTTAAGGTTTTTCTGCGAAAGCACGTCATGTTTTCCAGCCTTTTCTTACCTTTATGGGCTGTTTTCTCACAATTCTATTTTTTCACACATTATCTCATTTTTCTGCCTGTTTCTTATTTAATTTCAATGTAACTTTCACAGCATACAAACAACACCTAGTTCTAGATTTGGGCTTGTTGAATTTTTGATTAATGAAGTAGTTTTTGATCTACGGGCTTAGAAAGCATGAATTTCCTTTTTTTACACTTTTTTACAGTAACCCAATTGTAAGTGTTATAAAATAAAATATAAAGCATATATAAAAAATTCAACAAGCCAAATTTAACAGATACATATTTACTGTTGGGATGCCAAATTAGAAGTTAATCAGTTAATAATAAGGGAATGAAATGAGATTGAAAAAGGTATACAAAATCCAATATGGTCGCCGTTTTTGCAAGTGCCGTAAAACTCTTACTAAAACTAAAAATTAAACTAATCTACTAATCTATAGACAAAAGCACACGTGTCACATCATTGAACTAATCTCTTTAATCTCTTGAATCCCGTCCCTCCCTTCCTCCCTCCCTGTCCCAACTCGCCCCCTCGTTGCCCCGTCGGCTGTGTCCCGTAGTACCACGTGGTTCAGGGTCCACACCGGACGCGGATCGCCAACATCCTGACGGGACCTCACCTAGAGCTCCTGGCCGCCTTGAGGGACTGCGTCGTCTATATACACGATCTCCACCAGAAGGACCTGGGTATGTTGGCTCGTAGCTCCGCGGTCCAGCTCGATATCCACTGAGCTAATGGAGCAGGTGGTTGGCGGGTGCTCTGGTGTCCTTCTTTCCTATCAAACATCTATCGTCCTTATCTCCCCTTCTTTTTTATTTTTGTTACTTTCTTGTAACACTCCTAATCTTCTGGCGCTCATATGACTTTATGCTGTTGCGAGCGCCGTAAAACCTTTACTAAAACTAACTGTCACGTTCTGCTTGTACGTTGTCTTTATCAGTGGGTGTTTAATGGGGACTTTATTGTATTACAAGGGCCCTCTAAACTAAAGCTGAAACTAACCCCTTGCACATAGACTTTATCATGAAATGTTTCTATCTATAGGAAGGTTTATCATATACACTGTCTGTGCATGCATATATCACGTACTCTTGAACTGTATGTGTATCGCCATATCGTGTGCCATAAGCACTTCATACGTGTCAGGACTTGGTGGAATCAGGCGCTCGTCAATTTTTGGGCTTATGGGGTTATTGGTATCATCATAAAGTATAAAGACTGTTCATTTGCCTTCCTTTTGGAGAAAAAAAATATCCATCTATATTGAATAGAAGTCGAGATATTTGCAATTGAAGGAGGTATAGTCGCTTGGTTTCAGTGGTAGAAATAACGAGAAACTGGTCGCCAGAGTTTGGTGACTTCAATTGGTTCAGAGTCCTTGAAAACTGAAAAATCACGTATTTTTGTGCCATTAATCAACGTTGTTCAGTAAATTTCACATGGAAATGTGTTTCTATATGAACATGAAAGGTGTTGAGCGGGAAAACACAAATTCGATAAAAATGGCCAAACTGGCGGAAAAATGTCTTGTTTCTCCAGTTTCATTATTTTGACGAGCGAGCGCCTGGCTTCACCACGATGTCTCTCATATGTGTTCGGAAGGAACGCATTGCTCATGTTTGTATTTTCTCTGTCTAATTTCAGAAAGTGTTGGGGATAAGCAAGAGACGTGTTGGAAGGCAGTGACAGAAACAGCTCGCAGTGAGTCCTATATATGTGTGTGTGTGGGGGTGTGAGGGTGTGTGTGTGGGGGGGTGTTTGTGTGGGTGGGTGGTTGGCGGGGGGCAGTGACAAAAACAGCTCGCAATAAGTCCTATGTGTGGGTGTGTTTGTGTGTGTGTGTGTGTGTGCGGAAATAATGCTTAGGGACCATAGCTACCCACTGACATCTGAATTTCAACTATCAACCGATAGTAAACGATACATTTCCAAAAAAGCAAGAACAGACAGATGTGAAAATTCATTCATACCAACTGCAGTGAGGTTACTGAACTCACAGTGCTACAAATTAAACAAAGAGAGAGATTGTTTTACGGAGCGGGTTGTCATGTATTTACTAATGTCCTGTCTTGTTGTGCGTATGCGTGAGTGCACCTAACCTTTGTAACGT